TACTCCACAAAAAAGCACCAAGCCCAGATGGTTTCATGGAGGAATTGTTAAATTTGTCTACATAAAAAAAAAAAAAAATTCGCATGATTAAAAAAAAGCATGAGCAAATTCAAAATCATGAAAAAAAGATATAAAAATGGTCCTTAAACATGAAAGATATTTAACTTCACTCATTGTGAGAGGAATGTAAATTAAAGCTATAATGAGATACCATTTCTCACCCATCAGATTAGCAAAAACTCAAAAGCTTGACAACATACTGAAGTTTTGGGGAAACAGAAAGTCTCATACATTCCTGGTGGAATATGAATTACCACAACCTTTATGGAAAAGTATTTGGCAATATGTAATAAAAGTACATATGCATATGTCTTTTCACTTAGTAATCCCACTTCTGGGAATCTACCCTGAAGGTATACTTCAAAACAGAAATATGTAAGATCATTTGTTGTAACATTATCTGTAATTTTACAAAACACTGAACTACTTGAATGCCCAAGCATAGCAGATTGATTGTATAAACTATGTACGTCCACACAGTGGGATGCTAGGCCACAAGAGAGAGAGACGGAAGGAGGGAGAGAAGGAGAGAGAGAAAGAGAACGAGAAATCTCTATGAAAAATACAAGTGACTTCTGGAGATGCTAAGTGAAAAAAGCAAAATCCGTAAGAGCATTATGTGAAATAGCTAATAAGCACATGAAAAGATGCTCAACTTTGTCATTAGGGAAATGCAAATTTAAACCATGAAATACCACTTTGTATCTATAAGAACGTCTATAATAAAAAAAAGTCATTAACAAATGCTAGAGAGGATGTGGAGAAACAGGAACCCTCATATATTGCTGGTGGCAATGTAAAGTTGGAAAACAGTACGACAGTTTCTTAAAAAGTTAAAATACAAATTAATCACACAACCCAACAATTCCACTCTTAGGTATTTACCCAAAAGAAATGAAAACCCATGGCAACAGAAAGACTTGCACATGAATGATCTTAGCAGCATTATGCACCAGGGCCAAAAAGGAAGCAACTCAATTGTCCATTGACTATTAAATGAATAAATAAAACAGGAATTCATATAATGGAATACTATTTAGCAGTAAGAATACTGATAGAAATGCTGACATATGCAATGACATGGATGAACACAAAAACATACTAAGTAAAAGAAGCCAGACTCAAAAGATAATATTGTATGATTCTATTTATATGAAATAACCAGAAAAGGAAAATCTATAGAGACAGAAAGTAACTAGTGGTTGCCTGGAACGGGGGAGCGGGCAGGGAGTGGTGGGAACACACATTAACTATAATCAGGCATGAGAAAGTTTACTGGAATGATGAACATGTTCTAAAACTGGATTTTGGTCAGGTTGCACAATTTTTATAAAATGAGTGAATTTTGTGAAATTATACCTCAATGAAGTTAAGGATATATACGTGAATTTTATAATATGTACAATATGCACCAATGAGTTATTTTTTTAGAAAGCAAGTTTATGGAGTGGCCAGCCCTCCCAGTTTGCCCGACTCTCCCAGTTTTAGCACTTGAAAGTCCCATACCCCGAGAAACTTCAGTCCTGGGCAAAAAGGCTATCTCCCTGTATGTATGCTACCTTTACTGTAAGAAAAGGCGGGGGGCAGGGGAGATAAGAAAACACCTTCATTACATTTCTTCATAAAAAGAAACATGGGGTGCGGGAACAGTGAGGTTGGATACCCAAGAAGGGGCTGGGGAATGGGACAGAAGGGATATGAGAGAGTAACACCTGTCAGTAAACCTTTGGTATAGTTACGACTTTTAGAAACATGTTAGCATTCCATGTATTTTTTAAAAATTAAATCAACAAGGATGTGAAGTATGTGTGTAGGGGGGACCTTAAACTTGGAAAAAAACTGAAACAAATGAATCCAATTTATTTCAAATAAATAACATAATCACAGTGAGAGAAAAAAGAACCCAAGTAATTTATGAACACAGAATGTAATTATATATCCTTATTATTGGGCAGAGTACAGGTAGGGAGAGAACTGCCAACAAGCTTTTAAGTGTTTTTTTTACAGTGACATGGGCAAAAGCAATTCTAAGAACTACTTCAGATGTACTACAGGATTGACCAAATGAATAAACTTGACTTGTGCCAGAATTCTGAAAAAACAGAGACATAGGAATATGGAATGGGGAAGTCAAGACAAGACCCCTGAGGATGGATAGAAATTGGAGGTATTAGTGTGAACTCATGATTTCTGAAATCAAACACAATGTGTATATAAGCACATGTAAAATGTACATGGCACATGCATATTTATGTGTTTACAGATGTACAATGCACATTTCCTAATTCTGTCTGCTGAATAGGCCTAGAAGATGACACCGAGCAACCAGAGCTATGTGTCTAATAATCAGAAATTGCTGATTCCAGATCCTGGAACATCTTTTATTTAAGAGAATGTCCTAAAATAAATAAATAAATAAATAAAACTAAAACGATGCCACAAGGACATAGGAGCCAGACTGAATGAGCTCCTACTGAGCAAATTTAAGACAATTTAAGCACCAAAGTAATGAATTATAAGCCACTGAAAAAATAGACAACCAAGAGTCCAAAACAATAGTAAATATAAAACCGTACACGCATAGGTATAGATGAACAAATGGATGGCTGGGGGAGAAAGGGTTCCTGCTAACAGTAGAATGCTGAGTGCCAAATGGTAGATGAGGACGGAACGCTGGAGTTAGAAAAATCAGCATTTTGCAACTAGCAAAGACTGAAAGCAAAAATCACCAAAGCTACTAAATCCTGGTTATAGCATGGACTTAAAAGAGTCTTCTTCAGATTATTAGATACAAGCTAAAAAACAGTAACTATATATTGGAGAAACTGAAAAACACCTTGACCAGGTGACCAAAATAAACATCACCAATGAGGAGCAGATGGACACTCTTGTGGCCCCAGATGTGATGCTCTGATGACATAGTATCACTGATGGAATATTCTGAGAATGCATAACCTGAATGTAATGCAGAAACCCCAAATGAGGAACATTCTTTTGGGGAGGGGAAGGGGGACAAAAAGACTGCATTCTCCAAAAACATGTCATATCAATGCCATAAAAGACAAAGGGGGACATGGAAATGATCCCAGAGAAGAGGGGATTTGAGGGCAAACCACCAAATGATAAAAACAAAAATGGTAAGGTTTAAACAATAGGAGAATCTGGGTAAAAGATGTACTGATGTCCTTTGTATTATTCTTAATTCTTGCCAATTTTTGGTAAATTTTAAATCATTTCCATACAGAAAGTTAAAAAAAAATTAGGAACTGATACTGGGTTGTGAACCTCATGTTTTGCTAACAAGGCTATTAAACGCCAATCATTTAAAAAAAAAAAAACTACCACTGACCATTATGTCATTTTGTTTAAAAAAAGAAAAGTGTGAGGAGGGGCATTTTAAATATCCAAAACATAGCAGTCATACCCAAAAAAAGAATGGTCCTTTAAAATGCCTAAATTTATATTTAAGAAAAAAAAAACACATTATCCTAATTTTTCTCATTTCCCTGTGGACAAGGGGAGCTTTGTCCGTTTGGTATTAGGGAATTAGTATTCTAGACAAGGTGTGTTTTCAGCAGTGGATGAAATACAGATCAGTGGAAAGAGCATGGAGGCAAACACTGAATTCAAATCCTGGTGCCAGAAGTTACCAGCTTTGTAGCCAGTTTCCTCACTTGCAAGACAGACAGTTTAATCATGGGACTGTTAAGAGAATTAAATTAACATATCTAGAATAGCACTTCACACAGAGAAGGGTGCTCAACAAATGTCTCCTACTCTTCCTTTTCTTTCTGTTCTCTGGAGATGAATCTGGGGCCATGTTCGCCTTTTCCTCATTGATCGAAACATGCGCCCATTAGAATTAAACAGCATTATCCTGAGAACAAACCTGCCTTCTGAGTAAACTTTCTGATAAACTTCATGAAAACAGAAGCCAGAGATACTGGACAGTGGAATGGAAAGATAGATGGCTTATAAAAACAGATGACTTGGGGAATGGCTGGTTAGCTGGTGAGTTCTGTTAAAGAGGTCAAGACAATTGGAGGGAAGGTAGTATTAGTCTGTATTAGAAAAGTTTGCTGCTCAGAAAAAGATAAAACATTATATTTTTTCTTCATATATTCACAAGTCTATTTTGCAAACAACCATCTATCTATTTCCAGGAATGAATAATTTATATAAAAAATAAACTGTATTAAAATCACCAATTCCATTTGTTTTACCAGCTATGTATTTTGAAAAAAAAAAATCAACTCAGTAAAATGTCCATAAATTATGAGATTTCATCCAATTGTCTATTTTTTTTTTTTGCTTCTTTCCATATATTTCCTATTCACATCTAATAGGACAATTTCCTTTTATACTGCCATTGACAGTAATTCTTTAAAAATCTATTTTTAAAAATAAAAAGTTTAAAAATAACTAAATTGCATTATAGCAAAGAAATTTATATTGCCAAACAGAAATTTAGTTTAACATTTAAAATCTTTATAAAAGATAAACAAATCCTGATTTCCCCTTTATTTTATAATTGAAAAATGAAATCACTTAACATGATCACTTGAAACATAATTTCCTTAAAACTTCTCTATGGTGAAACAAAGCTCTATATATTTAAAGAGTGTGTATAACATTTATAACACTCATGACAATTTCAAACCAACTAGCACTGGTATAGCTTCAAATTACTATTAGTTGCGGCTATTTTTGGAAAAAAGGTACAAAGCTTATTAGGGCCCAGCATACCAGAAAACCTTAATTTTACATTGTCATAGAGTTGAAAAAGGGACATTATAGTGTGAAGACACTATAAATTGCCATTTCTTTCTCATAAGTCTTTTAAAACAGGCTGCAAAAATATTCAGTACCTCATATATATTAACTAACAAAAATATTTCCATTGACTACCTTTTGCCCAGAGTGATTAAGGACCAAAAAATAGAATTCTTGTTGCTTTATTATCTGATAAACTGCTAGTAAGCTCCCGTTAGAAGTTCTTTAGACATTACACCAAGTCATCTTGGTCTTCTGATCATATATATATATATATATATATATATATATATGTATTTTTTCAAGTAAAGAAATGTTTAACAGATGTAAACTATTTATTGAATATTTGCCACCAAATATTGTTAAATACATTATCTTGCAGCATATCGCTTTCAAGTTAAAATGTCAAACAAACACCAATATTTACAATTCTTTTAAGGAATGTTATATAATGACACATTAAGGCGTAAATTCTTTTGGCTTATAATTCTTAAAAGAATGATAATAGCAAAAGTGATGCAAAATCTTCAGTGTGAGATTATGATTAAGCTACATTTTACAAAAATATGGTGTAAGATGGCAATAATCCCATTCAACATCCTGGATTAGATCCCTTCAGGAGGGACTGATAATTTATACAGTCAAACTTTAAAATTTACAGATAAAGGCAGTTCAATACTGCCACTGAGAAGTACATCTCTTAACATATACAACTTTCAGGCCACAGTTTTGAAGGTCTGAAGTATCAAGTTGGTTTGATGAATTAGTCGGTTGGCACTTATGAACACATTTATTGCCCTGTAAAAAAAAAAAACATTAATTTTATCAAAAAAAAAATCATCCTTTAAAAATATTTATACTTGATGCCATCCACTAACAGTAGCAATGAAATCAATTTAGGGAAAAAAAAAAAAGAGGCAAGTCAGCACTAAGGATCGTATGTTTTATACCAACTTGGAATTGAATGGTCCTGCATCATTTGAAACTATCTAGGAATTACTGCCCCCTAGTGGTTCCAGCTGGCAATAAGCTGTTGGTGGGCTGCTAATGATAGGTGGCGCCTCAACAACCGGATTTCCTGAGGTTGAACACGTAACTGGCCAAAGAGGATTCAAAAGTGGTCTCCAGCTCTGGTTTCGTGTAAGTTACCAAAATAATATCTGCGCCAGTATTATATTCAGCCTCAAAATCTCTACTTCAATGGACATATCTCTCCTACCTTCTTTCAAAAACAAACAAAAAACAAAACAAAAACTATGAGAATTCTAAACTACTTTTAGAATAAATCTATTAAAACAAAATAATCATGTGGTTTCAATATTTAAGAGCTGACAATATATAAAAATTCTTAAAAATTACTTTGTGCTGCACACATTTCTCCTATCAGCCCATCTTCATGTGACAGGAACAAAGAACTGATGCCCTAGTCCCACTGTGTGGTCTTATCAGTTTCTCAGTATCATAGCTAAAACTTTTATCTTCATCCTAGACATTTCTCAAAAAAGAGGGACCAGAAATAATGAGTTGCATCAATGCAAATTCATCCCCTTACTGGAAGATGGCTCAAAGAACAGGCTCTAAGTTTTCAGTTTCAAGAAAACAGATATAAAACTAAAACCAAAAATAATGGCACATTATTCATATACAAATAATTATAAAGAAGCTACTGAATGGAGAAAAAGTAGCAGGGAGCCTGAATAATCCATATGCAGCATACATAACTTCAGATTAATGAAAATTAGGCTCTAAAGGAATTTCTACCTTTCGATGTGCTTATTTCACAACAGTTCTTAATTAGAATCAGAAATAATGATCCCATCATGTAAAATTCTTTTGATGTGTTTGGTTATTTTGGCTTAGCAGTGGAGACCAAGAAAAAAACAGATATAAGTTTATTTTCAGAACACACCTGCAAGCTTATTAAACTAAGTCATCAAGGAGCATTTCCCCTAGACTATCTGAACAGTAACAAAAACCATTAATAAAATGTACCTCAGTATCTTTAATTCATAATATAAATGTAAAGAAATGTAAAGATTTCAACCTATTTGAACTGTTAAAAATAAATGAAAATTAACAGACCATTCTAATGTATTTTTATAATTTTTAAATATTATTATAATAATATTGTAATGTTTGACACGGATATAGGGATCTTTAAACTTCAATGGTAGGATAAATGTTAGAGGTTCCAATGATACATGAAATAATCACTATTTAGATTGTTTTTCTGACCCTAAGCACTGTCAGAAAATGGTCTTGTCCACAAAATTTCGAGTATTCTACTTGAGATACAAAGAGCTCTCTATAAGGTACAATGTTACAGAAGACACGGCCCCTCCATCAGCTTATACAGGATATGTACATGTGTAAAATGTATATGTAAAAACACATAAATTTTTTGGTTTTCTGGAGTGTTCTATAGATAATTGTATGCCTAAGCTTAAAAACAACTCCAATTTACCTTTTTAGTATACTATTTATCTTACAGAGCAACAGTGAAAGCCTCCCTCCTTCTGAAGAGTGGGTCACAACCTTTGTAGTACTTTTAAATCACCTGGAACACTTTTTATAAAAGACTTATTAAATTCTGGTCCCACTCCAAGCTACCTGAATCAGAACCTCTGAAGTTGGGACCAAAGCACTGGAATTTTAAAAAACTGAACCAAAGTGATTCTAATGTGCAAATGGGATTGAGAACCATTGCTTTAACTTTTAATTCTCAACAGACCGGCAGTATCAGTATTATCTGAAAACTTCTTAGAAATGCAAATTCTATGGGCACCTGGGTGGCTCTGTGGTTGAGTATCCCCGACTCTTGATTTTGGCTCAGGTCATGATCTCAGGGTCGTGAGATCCAGCCCCAAATTGGGTTCCACAGGCAGTCTGCGTGAGATTCCTTCCCTCTGCCCCTCCCCCAGTTCGCATGCTCTCTCTCCCTCTCTCAAATTAAAAAAAAGAGAAATGCAAATACTTGGGTCCACCCTAGACCTATAGAATGGAGGGAGGGGAACTCCAAAAGCAATTACATGTACATGTATAAAATGTATATTTTGTTCTTTAATAAGCCCTCCAGGTGATTCTGATGCTCCTAAAATTTGAGAACCACAGCGTCAGGGGGTGGTGAAGTAGGCCAGTAAGCCAAATCTCACATCCCGTATTTCTGTACAGCCTGCAGGCTAAGAACACTTTTATATTTTTAAATGACCAAAAAAAAAAGAGTATTATGTAGAAGGTGAAAATCAAATAAAATTCAAATTTCAGTGTCTATAAATCAAGTTTTATTAGAACATGGCCATAATGTCACTTGTTTCCATACTATGACTGCTTTTGCACCACAACACCACAGCAGAGGTGAAGTAGGTAGTTCTAACAAGCCCACCTATAGGTGGACCCGGAATATTTGCCATGAGGCCTAGTTATGGCTAGATTATCAACCAAGAGTCTATTCTTAGTTACTAGTTACCTTGAGTATGAACAATATAGTAAAAGGGCTTAATTTATACAGTTTTAGTATTTAATTTATACAGTTTTAATATAATTTAATTTATACAGTTTTAGTATAAAACCACATAATTTAATTTCTTTAAAAAAGGATAATAAATGACACTACTTACTTGCCATCCTTAAAATAGGTTTTCAGAGTATCACTGAAGCTTTTGGAGTACTTTACAAATTCTTTCTTTTGGTGTTCAAGTGCCTACAGACATCAAACAGAGTAAGAAAAAAAATATTAAATAGGAAAAGAGAAATAACACAAAAGCCAAAATCAAAGATAAGAGATTATACAGAATACAGGATGGACTTTATATATTATGAATTGGAATTTTTAGAAGTATTTACTTAAACATATTTTAATTCAAGGACAAAACCAGTGGTTAATGATACAAAACTATTTTCAATAATCAAACCATCTTAGTATTTAATTCAATAAAACAACTAAGTGTAAATCAACATCTAGGGTGGCAGCTTATACAAAGCTTCTACTAAACTTACCCTGCGGTTCTGGTATTGATACTTCTTGAAGACATTATTCACTGTATCAAGAAGTTCTTTTATTGCACTAGCTATATCCCTGTTGGATAAGGAAAAAAGAAACTTCTTAAAATCAGTTATATTTGGAAGAGGGGTGTGTATTTTATATATATATGGATATGGATATACACACACACACACACACACACACACATATATATATCTATATTTTTTTTTAAGGATTCCTAATCACACTGTAATTACCACATTAACAATGCATCAAGCCCAAACATGTGACTTGATGATTGGATGGATTTTAGCCTGTACCCTTTTGTGATCCTGACTTCCCTTGCATTGCTGACCAAATGTTCTATAACTAATTTCAATCTTCCCAAATCAGTAACATTTCATTCAGCACTACTTACTCAAATTTTTAAGAATTACCTCTGCTTTTCATCTTTTCCAGTTATGATTTTTCCTTTCTTTGATGAATTCAAGCTACTATATTCTCTACGTTTGCTATCTCATGAACAATTACATAAAATTTTACTATTACGTGTACCATACTTCTGTATTTATCAGCACTTCAAGTTACATACCTAATAGTTTTGATGTTTAAAATGAAATATATTTCCTTCTCAGACATAGCTCTTCTCTCTAAGACACATCTACCTTCTAACAACTGCCTATACCCCTCTTCCAAAAACTTTGCTGTCATTATTTCCTTTGGAAAATATATTTAAATTCCTGAGAGAGACAATATCAGAATATTTTGCTACCTTAACCTTTCAGCAATCATCCTTGGACTATATATGCATCAACACCTTCCTCCCCTTTTAAGCAGATAAAGAGAAGAAATCAATAATTCTCATGAGTTGACTGTTCTTCCTACCCATTAACCATTTTTTTCCCTAAACTTTTCTTGTCTTTTCTATCTATGCTTTTTTCAATTTTCATCTTCTAACTGCGTAACTTTTTTGCCAAACTGAACTTAAACTTCTGCTGTGCAAATGCAATTCAAGTGTAAAGATATGAATTATTAAGACATAACTCTAGACCATCCCAAACATCTTTCATTACTTTTTAATCACAAATGTCAGATTTCAGTTATTTCATACCTAAAACATTTCAGCTTTACTAAAGAAAAAAAAACCCAAAAAGCTCTGTATCCAGATTTCTGTGGTGTATGTACGTGTATCACAGCATTTTTCTAGTAAATAAGCATGTAGGATGTCTAAGAATTACAAATATACAGTATTTGGGTACAAAAAAAATACGTTAGCCTATTCTGAAATAGTAGTGACATTTGTATTAAATATTTTGATAAATAATCACTTATTACCTCCTGTATGTCAAACATTGGTATCGGGCTGAACATTAAAATACTAGATTCAAATAGGACAATGAATGTTACATGGAAATGGTATCTGTCCACTCATTTTTTTTTCTTTTTGCCTCTAGTTTAGGAACAGCAGTTTTAACTTACATAACTATTCCTTTCATTTATGGTTTCAAGTAAGTTGACTCCTGTATTGCTCTGGTGTGCGTAAACCACTGCTTAATAAAATGATGTCATATGACCATGACATGAGAAAAATTACAAATTTCAACAAATAAATATTTGGAAGGTACTTCAAATCCACAATGAGCCCATTTAAAGCAGAACATAATGAAGCAAACTACAGTGATCAAACACTGAGGTGTTTATACACAACTACTTTGTAAAATAATATTCTGCTTTAAAAAGGGGGATTATAAAAATGTGCTTTCAGGGCTAATCGACAAGATGAACATATGCCCCATATACAATGATAATGGCTACATTCCATAGGTCAAACGAGCAGTGAGTTCTCACTCACCTGTAAGGAAAAAAAAAGGGTTTTCTGAAAGGTACCACAGACTTACTAATGAATATTGGGAATCTGTACTTTAAAAGAAAACTTAAAAAATAAGCCCCCCAGGTGATTCTGCTGATGAACCAAATTTGGAAACCCGTGTTTGGAAACCTAGAGCCTAGAACTAAGGTTTGATCTATCACTGGCCACAGAACTTTAGAAAGAACTTATAGAATAATGCCCCAGGCTGTTTATCCCTAGGCCTGGCCTTCTCTAAAAACAATTTGTGGCAATTTATATCAAATATTACATCATCTGTATGTACACAGAACGGTATTTTCATTTAAGGTGCTAGGGTTTGCACCAGGGAAGCTAAATTATATTAGTAACTAAGGGTTTGTTTCCTACAAAAAATAATCAGCACTAAAAAAATACTTCAGACAATTAAACAGATCAAGAATTGAAGAAAATAACTACAGTGTAATTACAGTCTGGAGTTAAGTGATTCTGTGACAAGGGACATATAGTAGGACAGAATTTTAGCAATTTGCAGCTTTTAGTGAGGCAACTTTGGGGAAACATACACTCAGAAGAGAAGAGGACAGGCATCAGAGGAAATATACATCTTATAAGAAAATTGCAATAGTAGACTTTCTAATCATGTAACTCAAATTTATATAACATATTTATGTGAACATTCTAAAGGAAGAAAACTCCTATGCTGTGTGTTTAGTTAGACTGGACATCTCTGGAAAAGCTACTCTGAAGCCATGAGGAAAACCAAACTCTGGTGAATTTTAGCACATGAATATGCAAATACACAGTAAATAAATAAATGCACGGCTTTCTGGTTTATCAAGTCACAAATCTCTACTAGTCATCCATTAGAATGTATCAGACCTAAAAAAGCCCTATGAATTAAATTTACTAAATATCTGCATAAGCTTAAATGTAGTCAAACAGAAACATTCATTAATCAAAAGAACTTTTAAGATATTTATTTGCTGGATCATTTTTCCTAATCAACCCCACAGAGAAAAGCAGGGAAAAAAAAACCCTTATTTCACAAAGCTAGTATGTGCTGTGAGCACATACCGGGTTCTGTGTGAGGCACTTTATGTATGTTGATGTATGTTCTTTCTCTCAATTCTTAAAACTGTTGTCCTCATCTTTATAGGCAGAAACTAGAATAACAGAAGCTAAGCTACTTATCCAAGGTCACACAGCTAAATGTGGGAATGGAAATTCAAACCTAGGTCTGCTAACATACACACAAATACCTGGATATTTGTTAGCTGATGGGAATCTTCTTTCTACTTAATATAACCTATGAAATCACATAGAGTACTTGGATAGTAAGTATCTGATACATGTTTCTTGAAAATACTGCTAAAATAAATGAAGATAACTACCTTAAGTATGAAAAAGTAAAATATTTTAAAGAAAAAACAGTAACTGCACAGTACACTGCGCCTGAAGGATAAGCCACTTTTTATTTTGGTGCAATTTTATCCACTAATTTGTTAAACAATTAACCATGGAGACAATATGTATCAAAATGTGTCAGTATATATCTGTGATACAAATAATCACATCTTACCTATCTATGTTAATTTATACATGGTCTCATAAATATATATTATCAACAAACTTTCCAGGGCCAATTATACCTCATAAAATGGTTAAGAAATAAATTTTAATTGCCAATACTCTTAATTCAGTTGTGCGGAGTACACTCCAGAAAACAGAACTAAAATATTACTGCTGCCCCACAAATGAGAGACAAGCCCTTAATTCAGCCTCTGTCAATGACTATGGACAGGGACTCTTAGGCTCCTGACCTCAACTTCCTTATGATTAAAATGTGGCTGTTTATACAGTGTTTTTCAAACCTCTCTCTAAAGCCACAATGGGTTTAGCAGAGATGCCTTGCAGACTCCCTCAGAGGGGTAAGATGGTGTCAAAGTAGCAGGACGAGGACTCTGGGCCTACCATACCTACCCCAGCTTCAACCACAACATTCTTCTCTCTCTTACCTACTGGCATTCTATATTAAGATATCCTTTATCACACCTCTTCCAGATAGCTAAAACTTTTTTCAATGACCAAGTTAGACCAGCATTATTCATCTCAGATTGGGAAGCAGCAGAGAAAACAATGGAGTGCATCTGCCTGGGTTCGAACCCAGATCTACCAATTTACCAGCTCTGTGACCTTGGAAAAGGTACTTAATTTCTTCACCTGTTATAGCAGTGTTATAATAATATATGTAAAATGCTTAAAAAAGCACTGAGAACATAATTCTAACTTATTAGACTACTATTATTAAGATGGCACTGATTCAATAAACCTCTCCTTCAGTGACCCAAGGCAAAATTTGCTGAAAATATTATTTTTAAAATGTCAGATCTTCATAGAAATGCAGCATAGATCATAAACAAATATATGATTATCAAAACAAATTAGAATTTTATTAAAGTATTTGAAAATTCTAAAACTAAGGGCGTCTGGGTGGCTCAGTTGGTTAAGCGACTGCCTTCGGCTCAGGTCATGATCCTGGAGTCCCTGGATCGAGTCCCACATCGGGCTTCCTGCTCAGCAGGGAGTCTGCTTCTCCCTCTGACCCTCTTCCCTCTTGTACGTTCTATCTCTCATTCTCTCTCTCTCAAATAAATAAATAAAATCTTTAAAAAAAATTCTAAAAATAAGCTGCTTAAACAACTGTGCTTCACGTAACTGGCAATTTATCCTTTTATGAGCTAAACAAGTTTACTTTATATTAGATTAAAAATAAAAAGCCATAAAACAGTTGACTATCTTCCTTTTTCACACATTAAAAATACTTAAAGGAAGTTGAGGCTTTCCTATAAAGGTAAAATATTTACCTCAGGATTTGTTCCCTGTGACACGAATTTTAGCTAGGCAATGAAAAATCTTTTTCGTACTTTCAGGTTCTCAATTAGAAGACCTAAAAGAGGGTCACTCCTTAATAGCTGGGTTGCGTACCCATCATAAACCAGTACTTTCTAAAATGGGATACCCTGCCCTCTATACTACTCAAAATAGGTGCCCAAACTAGCTAAAATAACATTTTGCAATGGGAATTACAAAAAATACTGTTTCCAAGAGATGAATGTTAATATTTACAAGTGAACCTCTTTCCATTCTTTAAAGATATGAAGTATGATGATGCAGCCTCTTTCAGAAAACAACAAAACCTGTGCTAAATCTTTCCTTTTCAGCAATTTCTACTTGTGGTCTCACCAAAAGGTTTCACTGATAGTGCAGCTCTAATTATTCCCAATTTTCTTCATAGTATATCCAGTGAGGCTAAAGAAAATTGAGACTCTTTATTCATCCAGAAATTATGTTTGGATTTTCCCCTGATTCTCCCACCCTCTTAATCCCTGAGGACAGTGCCCCTGGTTTGAGACCCACTGCTCACGGATGACCCGTCTTGCTGCTGCTCACCAGTCAGCCTTCTGGCCCCTTACATAATATCGGACTTATTTAACCTGTATCCCAAAGGTAAGGATTTGGAGGTTTACAATTTGGCCAATATTTAAAAATGCTATTCAAGCCTAAGAGTACATTACTTATTCTAATAACTTCTGTCCTTTCTGCAACAAAAACAATACTGGTATCCTTTGTTACCAATACTATAATTTATCCAACTTCCCTATTTACTTTAATCTGACATTTACATTTTTGCATTATTTTTTGTAGTTCTAACTACATTTCAATTTATGTACATTTCATTCACTGTTTTTATATGAACATTCTAAAAAATTTTATCATACTCTAAAGCCAAATACCACAGCTTAGGAGTTAATAATCAAAATGCAGCATTTAAAAATTTCAAGTCTGATTTCAAATTAATATTTCAATTTAATATTAATGTCATACCAAAATAAAACACCTAGAATGAGTGGTTCCTTTGAAGTACTTTCAAGAAAAGAAGAACCAAAGCCAAAAGTTGCTTACTTGATTGTCTGCAGAAACCTCACTCTGTCATTGATCTCATCTGGGATCTTACTGAGAATTTGCTTAAGTGCTCGTGCCTTTTCATTTAGGTCCTGGAATTCTGGCTCTGGTCGTTCAATCATATACTCTGATAAAATAAATACATAATAAAAACCATCATGCAACTCTCTGCCAAATTCAAGTCTACGAATTCCCAATGTTGGTTAAAGAAGTGGAGGGAGAAGAGAAAGGGAAAGGAAAGGAAAGACAAGGTTGCAAGGCAGAATTCATTAAAGTTCAACTTAGTTCAGAAATAATATTATGGCTCTCCCCAAGTAAAGGATCAAAAGATGAAAGACTAAACATTTTCAATTTGGGATAAATGGAAATTTGGTGAAATCTTAAAACAAACAAACAACTAAAAGATAGGCTCAATCAAATTTACCAGGCCTCTGAAGCTTTATTTCATAAGGAAACCTTAAGGTAATGACATTCATAACAAATATAATGACAATATATATCTGTTAAGGAGGAAGAGGAGCTTAATAACCAACCTCTATATTGAATATGTAATGAGCTCATGATACCAAAACCCAACCTACTAATATCTTCAGCAGATTCTTGAAATCTCACTTAAAAACACACAATAATTTATATAGATGTTTGCCCCATTATCATCACAATAACAATAACAGTAAGAAAGGAGAGGGGCAGAAGACCCATTTGTCAAATAAGACTTGGAGGAAGTACTTTTCAACAACTGTAAGAAAATTAAATAAGACTCTGACTACCTTCTACATCATCAGCTGCCATTCGAAGAAGGGACTCTGTGAAGTTAACTTCTACACTTTTTTTCTCTAAAATTTTCATAATGATGTCTTGTGTAAGTCCTGGATTTTCTTTTTCAGCCTATAAAAAGGAGAAAGCTCTTTTTAAAATACAGAAGCTCAATCAGCATTTGAAAGTCAAAAATTAATTGTTTAGAACCTGCCGGGAACCTCTTAGAGTAATCAAATTATGACAGCAGAAATCTTTGTAAAGTAGGTGTGGTGACGGCATTCAGTTATGTTTTGTCAGAGCTTATGCATCAGTGACTTCTTATTACAGCCATGGTCCCATTTGCCATTTGAACATAAGGTACTTAACATTTCCTATTTCTCCTCTACATTCACTTGCAATCAAACCAGTAACAAAAATAGAAATAAAGATTCTATATATTTTGGTAATCCATCAATTACTCTGTTCAGTAGTTTAAATACACTAAGGACTTTTAGCTTTTTTTCATTAGCTAAGATTTCAACTTGAGGATCAGGCTATAACTCATCTTACCAGTACTTTGAAGATTCTTTGCATTTAAATGAACAGAATGTCAAGAAAAACAAAAATGAAACAAAAAGACAGGATTTCTTTTGCAGGTTTTATTTAAGCTATATAATCCTTTACTTTTCCACCTCACAATTTTCATTTCCTATTTTCTGTAGCAAGAATATTTCCTTTTTTAGAAAGAATATTTGTAGCAAAAATAATTTACAGAACATCATTTAATCCTTTTGCTACCTCCTGGGCTTGTTTCACTGATGAGTTTGCATTACTTCTACGTTACTTCACTCACTAGGACACTAAAATCTTCTAGCCATCTCAACACTGAGAACACAGAAAGTTATGAGTTTATCATAGTTAATTTTCAGATTTGGGTTTTCCCCAGTAATTCTGTCCCATTTTATTATTTTTAAAAATTTTGTATTGACACTCTAAGTTTGTTTCTTTTAGGATGCCTGCCAATTTTAATCATTATGCTGATGATTTCCTATCTTTTTTGCCCAATATTAAACAGCAAATAGAAACACAATTTATGATCCTAATCAGACAGCAATCTATTTGCTTCCATATGTGTCAAGCACATTTAACCTCTGCCTTTTCAATTCCATTCTGGTACCACTGCAGATCCAGTTTCTTCCTGTTCCTACTGCTCTTTCCATTATAACATCTTGTTTCTCATTAGGCTTCAAGTATCAGAAACTGAAAGGTTTTGAAATGGAATGGGAAAAGAAAATATTCACATTTATCTCAACGCTGGGATCATTTTAACTGCTCTCATATGCTATTCAAGAAAATCATTTTGATAGATGATTAATAACAATAAAGTGTATCCTACTGAATTCCATTTCCTTTATAACCTGTTTTGATTTTTCTTTCCATGAATATATTTAAGATAGAATCTATTTTTTAAAAACAAGGGTTAAGACGGTATCAACATTATTAATTTGGTGACCTGCCACAAAACTATATGCATTATTTCGATAAGCCAGCATTTGATAAAGTGGTTTATCTTCTTTCTCTAAGTAGCATTAAATTACCTATATAATGCATCATCTTACAAGGCAGGGGAGTACTCTCCATGTGCTTACAGAATATGCCAGCAGAACAATAATCTCTCTCTGATTAAGTTATCATAAACTGCCAAAATCATTAAATGCTGAAAGCCTGAGAATAAAGTTTTCAACACCAAGTTGTGTGGAGCCCCAAACTGCCAAAACCGGAGCATTATAGAAATCTTACAGAGGCCTCTAACTTTCTCAGTTCACAAGTGTTCTTAGGGCAAAGAAAATAGTGGCTATGTAGTAGTTAGGTTCAAATAACTTCGTAAGTACTCGTGTCCTAACAACTGTCCTTAAAAAATACACAAATTGAAAGAAAAACATTTCATTTCATTCTTAAATAACCATGATTACTTACTGAGATGCATTCACCTGTTGGGCACTACACAATTTCTCAAATGTTGGAATTAGACTGGATCCTACAATCCCCATTTCCTATTGGGACACTGATTTTCTCGTGGTACTTACCTTTTATCACAGAAATGGCCAAAATTCCAACTTCACAAAAATATGACATCACTGCATGGAATGTAGCCCAATCTAATATGTTGAAATTGCTAACTGGGGCGCCTGGGTGGCTCAGTTGGTTAAGCAACTGCCTTCGGCTCAGGTCATGATCCCAGGGTCCTGGGATCGAGTCCCACATCAGGCTCCCTGCTCGGCGGGAAGCCTGCTTCTCCCTCTCCCACTCCCCCTGCTTGTGTTCCCTCTCTCTCTGTCTCTCTCTCTCTCTGTCAATTAAATAATAAATAAAATCTTTAAAAAAAAAAAAAAGAAATTGCAAACTACCTCAAGCTAGCATAGTTCACAGTGTCAGATGTTTAGTATCACTGTGTTCCTTTAAAGTTTTAAAATAACTCATAGCACTCTTCTAAGTTTGCTGTGGGGCCCCAGGGTGCCTCAGCACCTAGCTCGGGAACAATCATCTTAGTATCTTCTGGCTGAAATCCTTAAGCTACTTACTTTTCATTTTAAAAGCCTTAAATTTACCCAATTTCTCTGACTGACAAAATAAAAAGATCTGTGCTTAAATCGGAGACTTTTAACTATCTGTACCTTCAGGTTTTCTCCCAGAATTACAACCTTGAGTTCTGTGGGGATCCAATTTTTATGAAGAATCCCACTGTGAGAAAAAACTATCCCCAAAGGCAGTAACATCCACCCTCATGAGTCAGTGATTCTCAACAGCACAACCTATCAGAACTTTCCACAGGGGAAAAGAATCAAAGAGAAGAGACATCTTAAAAGATAATATTCATTAGTATTTTATCTTGGGGAAAACAATTTTAATCCCTTTTCTCGTGATAATAAAAATATTAAACCTTGATAAATCACACTTGTGGTCAAAGAACTGGAAATATGGACATATATTTTAGGAATATTAATAGGGATATATGGGTGGGTGAGGCATTTATTTATTTTTTGAGAACGAGAGAAAGTACGGGGGGGGAAGAAGCAGAGGGAGAGGCAGAAGCAGACTCCCCGCTGAGCAGGGAGCCCCATGCAAGGCTCGATCCCAGGACCCCTGGATCATGACCTGAGCCAAAGGCAGATGCTTAACCGAATGAGCCACCCAGGCACCCCTGGGTGAGACTTAAATTTTTCAAATAAGTTGTAGCTTTAAAAACACAAAAATCTTCCTCTTCTTAATGCATACCCTTTTAATTCCATTTGAAATTTAACAAATTAAATATAATAAAAATCAATCAATGCAAAACTAATTTATTTTCCTCTCAAAATAACTTCCACTTTCCCCAATTAACAATCAGTGCCGTGGACAATAAAATTTATCCATATGTTAAACCAGATCTATCAAAAAGCACATACTTTAAACATACTATTTGCTTTTAAAATGTACTTTAGTATTAAAACATCAGATTATATGTAAGGATATTTGTAAGAAAAAGCTTAATGAAATTTGTTATTTTACCTCTTTTAGAAATGACACTGAGGATATCATCTACTACTTCAGACAGAGTCCTCCTTATGATGATCCACAGGAGAAATTTCTCTCTGTTCTTGCTAACAGAAAAGCTAAAAAACTGACTTTTCCTTATCAATACTATATTGTGCAATAGGTCTCCTTTCCTTCCTTTCTTTGGCCACAAAAATAGCAAGTTAGTTTAAAACAGTTTCCATCATGCCTCCCTGATAACCAAATATGCCATTCCAAAGCCACACTGAAGTTCAAAGAAAAAAGAAAAAAAAAAATTGATGATATTGCTTCATTCCTTCTTTTCATTAACCCATTGATTTGCCAGGATATATTTTAATTAAGCTACTACGTATGAATACACAGGCACTGCATTTTAGAGTATTAATCACATCAAAATAGCTCTAATATAATATATACAATGTAAATTCTTGTGGTGAAGAGAGATGTTAAGTGATAGTATCTATCCCAGCAGTTAAGAGTGGTATCAATAAAAAATCTTTGCCATAAAAAAGAACTCAAGCTTTATGGATTTATAGTTCTAATCCAATAAAACTTAACTATAAATTTATTCTAGATTTAAACATTAAAATACTTTACCTGAAATAGAAGTTATTTTGGATATTAATGGGAACAAACACACAATAAGTAAATAAAAATTGAAGTTTTGGGTACCCTGATACGTACTGGGAAAGGAAGGGGGATGGATAAAGTTTTACATGAAAGAATGCACCTAATATGTAGGACTGTCCAATAGAAATATAACATAAGCAACAAATATCATTCATTGTAATTTTAAATTTTCTAGTGGCCATGTTACAAAATAAGAAATAAGTGAAATCATTTTAAGAGTACATCCAAAATATTATCATTTCAACATATAATTAATATAAAATACTTATTACTGAGTTATTTTACATTCTTTTTCTTATACTAAGTATTCAAAATCTGGTGTGTATTTTATACTTGGAGTACTACTCAATTTGAACTAGCAACATGTGGCTAGTATTTATCAAACAGTGCAGGTCTAGAGACAACAAAAAAGTTCACTCCGACAGAGTGACTTGGATGTATGTTTGCAAGCTACCCTTAATCTGACCCCCACACAGGTCTTGTTTTCCCATCAAAAATACTATGTTATACTTATGTTCTATAATTAAGCAATATGAAGAACATCTTTTTGAGTTATAATTTTACAAAAATTTTTATCAAGTCATATAACAGAAAAAGAAATTCAAAAATATACTCTAAAGCTAAAGAGAAAAGACTCCAAAGAAGTCAGTTTCCAAAGCAAAAAATGACAAAAAGATGAATGCTAAGGAAAAAGCATTTGTTTCAATTCACTTTTGGAAAGTGTTTTAAGCTTTACAGCGTACGCTAAAACAGACGTGAGACAGCTGAACAGGTTTTCACTAAAAGGAAATAAAGTGGCAATTATCATATGGTGTTCAGATTTATATACAACATACATTTTAATCATCACAATAAATTATTTGCACCTCACCTTAATGAAAGCTGCTCTCAGTGTCTGAGCTGCTGACAGGTTTACTCGTTCTAGCTGCAATATAAATTTTAAATCACTATTAATATCAATTTCCTCAGAAAAAGCACATTTCTGATATTCCATTCTACAGTAATAACACTGATATATCCATCATTTGATCAACAAAAATACTTGCTATTATTCTAAATCACCTTAATTCTTCAAATACACAGGTCATCTAAAATTTTCATTAGAAGAAATTAAAGGATGTATGAGTTCTTCATTCTTTTCATTTTTAAAAACAAAACACTCTACCTTAAAAGTAGACTTACGATAAGCACAGAATGCAAAATAATATCAAGTCCCTACAGAAAGAATAAACATATTTACTTCAATTACTGAAAATAGGGTTCGAGATCAACTCTCAATGCTCCGTTGCAAGTATATGGCAAATGGGGTTTGCACTGAATAGAAAACGACCAACACCAAGAAAACATTTATTATTTAAGATTTTTTGTATTTATTACCTTACTCCTTTTTAATTATTTTACAATCCCTCAGCCAGGGATTTAAGTTGAGGTTAGTCTATTTTATTAATTAGCAAACAGCACTGACAAAAGGTCTGATACTAAATAAAGACTGTGGATCATCTGTCCTCTATGTTATCTGGATTAAAAAAAGGTTACCTAAAATACTGGACCAAAAGTTCAATCCCAAAGCTTTTAATTTTAATATCAAATATGTGAGGTTTACAATTCTGAAAGATACATGTCCTTATTATACACTTTAGAGAATTCATTTTTCAGTGAGAAAAAAATTTGATAAAAATAATGCCATTTGTTGAAGAGTTAACTGCTAGGCTTAAAACAACTACCTTCAGTTAAATTCCTATTTTTTTAGTCCCTAAAGATTGCGCCAATTAACTCAATAAAGCTCAATGTATATATTTTTTATTGGGGACAATATTAAATGTTCAAAAACAATGTTAACTTTTATAGGATTCTTACGCAAGTGGAATTTTTTTACAAAAATCGTAGGAACATATCATATCTTGCAATAAATATTCCTTTCAATCCCTCGAGGAAATAAATGTAAGTTTTTCTTTATAAACAACATATATACATATATACATATCTAAGGAATGGCCTACACTTTATTAAATCAATTTATTTTCTAAACAAGACAGAAATGCCAAGAACCTTATCTCCCTACAAGTTACGCACCTTCAGCAAAAAAGCAACAAAATGTGCCAAGATAAACACTTTATCTCCAAAAATAAATAATAGGCCATTTAACTCAGTTTTTAACTTGGCTTCTACAAATCCAGTAAAATCTAACATTGTCTTAGTAGATAAAAGGGAAGACACAAGAGGACAAGGTAGGCAAATAGAGCAAAAAAGCAACTATGTAAGTTTATAAAATTAATGAAAATATGCTGCCACAAATAAAAAATTTTCTTCTTCCATGGAATTCATTTAATTGTAATGAGTCCTATTTAAGATTAAAATAATAATACAGCTCTTCTGATCTCAAGTTCTTGTTGTGTAAGGGAAGGAGAGGCAGACAAACAGGATGAATGTTTCCAGTCTGATAGGAACCATTTCCTTATTTGGGTTTACACCACACTCCGACCTCTTTCAAGAAGTCAAAGGTCTGAGTCAGATGTGTACCTCCAAGTATCTGCATCATTAACTCATTCTGTACTACCCTGGCTGGTGTGTGAAAGGGTCAAGGCAAATAAAAGAGGCCCAGAATAGTCTGTGAAGAACTAATAAAATTAGCCAAGATAGACATCAGATTTCTAGATTAAGTTTACATACATGTGTCTTAGAAAAGAAAGGGAAAGGTCAGGCATATACTAAATCAAATCTGTGAGCTGTGAGGCACCTCAACCAGAACTCTGCAGGGAGTCATTTTGGGATACATTATATACCCACATATCTTGCAGTAAACCCACTAGGTTTCATTACTCATATGATATCCCCACTACCCAGGGAAGGACCAGGCATACAGGCACATATCTACTTTTTGAATTGAACTTAATCTCTCAACCATAAATTTATCTAAATTGTTCTTCAATCTACTTATAATTTGCAGCCTGTAATACTTAGCAAGGTATGTTTTTATCTTCCCTAATAAAAAGTGCGTCCCTTTTAGATCTTTCACTTATGATAGATGATTTGATGATAAAACCAAGTTCACCTTACCTTTCATGACAGTATAAGGTCCTGGCAGTATCCTAATAACAGTTTTCATTTACTTAGCACCTATAATGAATTTTGTTATGTATTTTCATAGAGAGTATCTCATCCTCACAATCTGTAACTAGCTATCATCACCTCTATTTTACAGAGGCAGAAATTCATTTTGCATAAATTTACCCAATATTCAAGAGCTAGTGCATACAGAGGCAGGATTCATAACAAATCTGTCTGGCTCTAAAACCTGTGCACAAGCCACTTAATGCTACCCTGCTCCCTGAATTCACCCTTCCCACACTGGCATCCACTCTCTCACTGAATCTCTTCTACTACTGAAGAACTAACAAATTCCCGAGTTTCTCCCATGTGTAAGAAAATCAGTGTGAGAGATAAAAGAAATAGATTATAGTCCTGGAACCCCAGATCAATTTAAATAAGCAGCTACATGGGAACTAATGGGATCACTGTCAGTTGAAGTAGGAAAAAAAAAAAGTCTTTATGGAGGTGAAAGCTAAACTGGTCCCTGAAGAACACAGCCTCTTAAAATCACCTTCCTGGGCCATTTGCAAACTTACAGCTTTCTTCAGGGGTTAGTAACACATGTGGGAGTAAAGTTTTTATGTAAGTTTAGAACAGACAAGAATTTCCATTTTGTTTCCAATACTTCCACTAATGAGTCCAGTAATTTTTTTCAGCTTTTGAGATAACAGTTGTTGGTTAGGTTATCTTTAAAGAGCCAATGCAATCATTTCTTAGTAGTAATTGATTCTGAATTCAGAGGAGGAGGAGGGAACATATAATTACACCTTGCCATTAATGGATATCTGGACAAGGAGAGGCTTTCCTCGGGCCTCAGCCATCTAGGAATTCCATGTCACCAGTAAAAGAGTAAAGAAAAAAAAAGAGAATAAGCACAAGAGAACAGGGCACCTAATCTCATTTCACGAAAAAGTAAAGAAAGTACCTCCTGAAGTCCCAGCTAGAGGAAAATGATAGGCTGGGGTGAACTTAACAGCGGGGCTCTCACCCCAACCTCACGTCTGCCTACTGTTTTGTGAGGTCCTCCTGTAATTTACTCTTGATAGCTTCTGAGAGCACTATTAACTGCAAACTTGTCAAATTTAACTCTCTAGAATGTTTACAAAAATATTTCAAAAGCTTACACATAATTGTGATTCCACAGAGAGTGCATTTATTGCATTGGTCCCTCCATTTATTGCACTGGTCCCTCCCTCCAAAGGTATCAGCTCATTCCTATACTTTATTTTCTAGTTAGCAAGCCTGTCTCTTACACCCATAACTATAAAAAAAAAAAAAAATCCATTTAACTCTTTGGTTACTCAAGTTTTATAGGTCTTGCATAAAATCTTTTGAAAGTATTCTTTCTTATTTTAAGGTCAAAATAATTAGGTTAGTTGGTTCTGAATTATCTACTAATTTGGCTTCCTCAAAATCAGGCATGATTTCTCCATGCTGACAACCTTCTCCCCTCCCCACAAACTCTATTAATCCTATTCTTTAAAAGGAATCAAACAGGGCCAAGACACAAGAAAAAGGGGTGCCTGGGTGGCTCAGCTGGTTAAGCATCCAACTTGATTTTGGCTCAGGTCATGATCTCAGGGTCCTGGGATGGAGCCCCTAGCAGAGCTGGGCTCCCCACTCAGCAGGGAGTCTGCTTGTCCCTCTATCTCTGCCCTTTCCCCGCTCATGTGCGCACTCTATTCCACTCTTTTAAATGGATAAATCTTTAAAAAAAGACACAAGAATAAAGGTACATCCCTTATGACTCAAATAAAAATGAGGTAAGTCAGATCAAAAAAAAAAAAAAGAAAAGAAAAAAAGCTAGAACATAAGTAGATAAGACTCAAGAGGCCACCTATCAACTTTTGTGCTGTCACAAAGAAGAGAGATGCAGTCATGTGTTTTATACATAGTAAATGTTTCTAAAATAATCTGTTTCTGGGGTTGCCAAGTTTTCCAGCAAAAAAGGTAAGCAGAGCCACCTATCACAAAAATGTTTCATTAAAAATTGTCTACCAGAATGTAAAACTCTAGGGAATGCTCACAATTTTATCAGAAAATTGCACAAAGACTTCTGAATAACAGCTCTAACACTTAACTACATGACTGGTACTATTCTCAGTACTACAATATATTAAGTCATTTATTTCAGAGTTACGAGAAATAAGTATATTACTGTTTATCATCAGTTTATAAACAAGGTAAGAAAGATAAGACTACACAGCCTAGAGTAAGGGGCAGAGCAGTAATTCTTATGCAAGATACTAACTACGATCACCTCTGGATGGTGGGACTGCAGGTAAAACCCATGCCTTCACTATGGAGAAGTATGTTTACTATGCTCCAATTTTGGGGTTTGATTTTTTCAATTAAAAAAAAAAGGGATAGTTAGGTATGTGAAGTTGGGGAAGTATTCACAGATTTCATTTGCTTATTGGAAAAAATTAAGAGTTGCATATTCTGCTAAGCTGGCAGAAATAACTGTGTTGGATGCTTCTGAATAAAATATTACTTATTCAGAAGTACCATTTTTTTGTGATTTATAAACAAGCATATAAACCCTTGGTGATCTAAAATTCTTATTTGTTTGCAAAACTGTTTATTCCTATCTCAAAACACAATACATATTTCTTCAGAAATTATACTTCACCTTAAAATAATTCCTCTAAAAAGTCACAGGAAACGATGATTCATGGTGTATCTTTCCCTGAAATGAAGAACTGAACTACACCTCTCTCCTCCTCCATACACAAAGATCAGTAGAAAGTAATACAGTACATGAGAACCTGATCTAAGACCTGTCATGACGCTTCTATAAACTCACTATTCCATAAGGTAACCAGGAGACCTATTTCACAGTACATTTACAACACATGCAATATACTTGGACTCTGAACTCTGCAGCAGCTGATTAAATAAGAAGCCTACTCCTTTCTCAGCTGTCTTGGCATAGCTTCATTAAGTTTAGCAAACATCAAACTCCCAGAATGCCATAAATAACTTTGCTTTGTGAGCTGGAGTAACAGTACTAAAATTTCCCAGATATAAGGATGCCCTACTATCTAAAAATCTGTTCTACAAGATGACTTACAGACTACCATTGTTACTACTACAAATGTTATGTTAAGGTGAGAATGGGTAAGTTTTTTTTAACTCTTCCAATACACTGTGGACAAAATTAAGTGTATCATTTAGCTCCAGAGTTAAACATTCATCCCTACTCTGGTACTATTTTCTGTAAGATTAATTTGACAACCATTTTATCTTTAAATCCGCATAGCACAGAAAAAGAGAGCCAAACTAAATTCTAACTTCCCCATTAGTAGATCTGTAGAAAAATCTATGTTTGAACTATAGTTAAATATTAATGTTTAACTGACTAGGTATCTTATTTTAGATGTTACATTAATACACTGGAAGTCAGACAACAATGCTAGTATTTTATTCTTCTCAACCACACACTTCACATTTGAAGGCACAATTATTTTATTCCATTCCTAAATCATGCCCCAGATTTCATATCTCTATCAAAAAGGAGACCTACTACCACTATTCCTAAAAGCCTGTTATTTCTGAACACTTGTTTTTGTAACGTGACAAAAATAATTTTTATAAAAAGCTAGATACCATGATGTTAGATCATAAATTTGAGAGCTAGACCCTGACAATTTGACACAGTATCTCTCAGTCTGCTGCTACATCTAGCCATTTCATTTTCAAATTCAGTTCTAACAATTCTTGAACCAACTATGAAACATTTGGCAACACGTTCTAATTCCGGGCCCATTAACCCACATATTTTTTAGATGTCATCTGGCAAGAATCATTGTCGTTATTTCTGGAAGAGATTTACCAGTCCATTCACAGCCTTTTTTCTTTCAAATTAATTTTTCTTACACATGAATAAATTAGAAAAGTTATCTTAGTATTAATCCCAACAGTTCATTGTATCAGAATCTCATATCCTATATAACTATTTTCCAAAGTTAAGATTCAAATAAAATCCATTTTCCTTATGTAGGAAAAGATCACTCTAGTTGTTAGGAAAAAAAACTTCTCTCACTCCTCTTCACTAACTAGAGGCTCAAACAGTTCTGCAATGTAAATTGCCCTTCCTTCAAGTGAAGACTCAAAATACTAGATAAATACCGAAATGCCCCATACAACTTGGCCCAAAAGCCCACAGGGGTGGCTAGCTATACAGACCCAAGAAGAAGGAGCACTTCTGGGTAGAACTGCCATAATGGTTCTTGAAGTACCTGAGAAGTTAAAACACTAAACATCAACATACATTACTTAATAGTTTCAGTGACTGTCTTCTTACCTCATACCTGGTACAAGGATAATTAAATAATGTATTTGCTTAAACATCTGTTTAAGATGTTTAAGAAAATAGTTCCCTGTGGTTCTTAAGAAGAGGTATAATGCCTTTTTCTTTTCCACATCCTCGGACCCTAGCAGACTACTCAGCAAATAAATGGCTGACATTTAGTAAATACTTACTAAACAGAACTGAAGCACTTGCTTCTAACAGTAACTGTAGTCTTGTAATGAATGGGTACATATTAGAACAAAATGGTGGAATTAATTACTGCCAGAGTGTTGGCGTTATACCTGCCAGAGATGGGTATTACCAGCCCTAAAAGAGTGCCTCCAATGCTACCATAGTATTAGTATAACAGGGACAGGTTTTTCAAAAGATACCTCCTATTGCTTCCTCTTTAGTAACAAAACTTATAAATTTCCCAACCTCCTTTGCAGCTAGGTGCAGTCATAAGACTAAGTTCTCGCCAATGAGATGTAAATGGAAGTCTTGTATAGGACTTTCAAAAAGGTTACTTGAAGGAAGCTTAATTGGCTGGAAGTAACACCCCCAACTCTATTCCATTTTTTTGTGCCTTCCATACAACAACTTAGGACATGATGAATGGAGATTCAGCAGCTACCCCACATGCTGAGGTGACCTTGATAACGCAAAGTAAGCACTAGGATACCGAGTCATAATAACACTAACACTGGACCACTTAACACTACAATTTTTATGCAAGAGAAATAACTTTTATCCAAGCCAGTTTTTTTCTTTTATGGTCACTGAACCTAATAACACTATTTGACAGATAGCATTTAGAATTTCAAAATATATGTCTGAAATGGCAACTAGGTCTGTGATTTCCAAGTTGAAGAGGATGAATCACTCTCTCTTGTCCCCAAGACTTAAGACCACAAATGCATCAAATACATTATTATTAAACCTAATAATGTGGGAGAAAGGGTTTTGAAATCCAGAATCTTACTCTAATATAAATACTTTACAAAAAGGAATAAGAAGTCATTGGAAATGGTGAGGGTTTCCAAGTTACAGCAGCAACAATAAGGTCAATGGTGTTGACAGCTTTATAATTAGCAAAACAAAAATAAAAAGACCCTAATTAAATATACAGAAAGGCTAAGGCTGAAGCCACTGAATTTGGAATCCTAGATTTTAGTTCTAGGTAATTTTAGGAACACCATTTCACATATTTGGAACTCAATTCATCATTAAAAGGAGGGGCATGATTAAATTATTTCTAAGGAATTTCCAGCTCTCATTCTCTAAATTAAAAGAAAAACCAAAAATGTATTAAGTCCTAGAAAATTCCTCAAATAAAAAAGCAACTACATCTTCTCTAGACACTAAAGCAATGGTAGCTTCCATTTATCAGTAAAAATATGTTTTGTCTCTACTGACTACAATTCAGCAGGATATTTTTGTGCCTGCTCTTCTGGCTACCTAAAACGTGCTTATCCTGAACTCAACTGTCAAATCCTTACTTACCTCTTTTCGATCTTAGCATATAAGTCTCATCTTGAATGAGGCTGGTCCTGACCCCTAAAGCAGGTCCCACCTGCTATTTTATTGAACATATGATTCTTCGTGACTTCACAGCTCTTACCACAACTTTCCATTTATATAATTACTTGTATTCTTTTATTCAATGTCCGTCTCTCCCCCTATAATGAAACCTCCAGATGGGAAGCAATAAATTCAGGTTCCCCCCTCCCTACTGTTTTATGTCCAACCTGGTACAATGCCTAACACACAGATGAAATTCATCTATGTATTTGTTATATGAAGGAAAAAACAAATGAATAAATGAGGCAGGCATCAAGAATTGAAGAGATCATGTAAAAAATGTTTACCTACTTACCTCATTAAAAACAGGATACATGACTGCATAGAGGGGCATAGAAACCATGGAAGTGGTCTCAGCTTCATTCTTCATCTCTTCCATTGTCATCCTCATTCAAAAGCCAACTACAGTAGAAAAAGCAATGCTAAAATGCAGAGGAATCTTCATTCACTGCAGTATTTCTTTTCTTTTTTGTGATAAAAGAACAGGGCACAAAATATATACTGACCTGGTTAAAAGGGAAGGAAGAAAGAACAGAGATTTACTCTATTAAGGGAAAATGACAAACACCAATAACTTTCTTTTCCAGTGTCTCTATCTTATGAACAGCTGATTTGTTAATGTATCTTACTTGTGAAGGTACCCCTGATCAGTAAGACATCTCTTTTCCTCCTCAGACTCAGGAATTTGCCCTTTCTTACAACTAATTTTCCCTCATTAACAAAGCTGTGATTCATGAACCCACTCATCTTTAACTGAGAGAGAGTGCTCCCTGAAGCACCATGGAATAATGATGCATCTAATTCCATCATATATACAATCAAAAAAGTTAATACAAGAAATTACCAACAAAGTGTATAATCATAGCACTTATACATAACATAAAACTATAACTGTGAAATACATAAAGCATAAATGTTAATGGAGAACTGCATTAACAATTAAGAAAAAAGGGGCGCCTGGGTGGCTCAGTCGTTAAGCATCTTCCTTCGGCTCAGGTCATGATCCCAGGGTCCTGAGATCCAGCCCCTGCTCGGCGGGAAGCCTGTTTCTCCCTCTCCCACTCCCCCTGCTTGTGTTCCCGCTCTCGCCGTGTCTGTCTCTGTCAAATAAATAAAATCTTAAAAAAAAAAAAAAATTAAGAAAAAAGGTGTTTAGATTAAAATCTTTTTGCTAACAGTTCATTGATTTTGCCACCAAAAAATAACAACAAAAGCATAGCCAAGCACCAAAGACTTAAGACAAATCTTAAAACTGGGAAAATTCTATCAAATGTGGTCTATTTGGGGGAAAAAATGTTATTTAATTTCGCCAGTGGTATTTCTGAATCTTTGTCCAAACCTGGCACAAAACCTAAGTAGAGAGATCCAGAGACACTGATAGTTTGACAAAATACTGAGAATTCAACAATATAAGAGAGAAATTTTGCCTTGAATAGTTGAGGAAGTATGTTGGTTTTTAAGAGAAAGCAACTGTATTTATTTCCTTTGCTAGGCTAAAAAATGAGCCTAATTATAAAGTGAAAGAGTAATATTAGTGACATATCTATATTTTAAACAATGTATATTAGTATACATATTTCAAAACCATCAATTTTGAATAATTTCTATCATTTATAAAGCATTTTCAGATTATAAAACATTTTTCACACACTTTTAGTCCTCACAATTACTTAACATTAACTGTCATTCTAATCTTATTTCAGGTTCTGAGATGATAAATGATTTGACCAAGAACACATATGCAAAGGTCCAAGACTTGATCCTAATACTCTCAATCCAGATCTGATAATTCCACATTAAAAAAAAAAAAAACAACAACTAAGTTTGAAGTAGAGACAATCTCAGCTCATCTACCCAAGAAAATACCCAGAGGTTATTCATTCACTGAATAAATGTAGGCTTAGCACCTACTCTGTAAAAGATGCAGTGGGGGGGTGATTAAGATGTGGTCCTAATCATTAAAACTTATCTGGGCCAGACTGTGGAAGACCTAAGCAGTTTGAAAGATACAATCAAAGGTCTGAGTATGCAGAGCTTCAAAAAGCTCTAATAACTTGTCCCATTTGAGAACTGCTTACTATCCTTCCATAATCCCTACCAGTGAAAGAGAACTTGACACCTACAGAAACCCGCTAGTCCCATTTCTGGTAGTTCTAAATATGGAAAGTTTTTCGTTTTGGGGCTACAAGCTGCCCACTGACCTCACAGAACCAAATCAATAAATAAAAATAAGAAGGCCAATTCCTAGGTCTTATTCTATAGGGTAACAGAAAGCCATTACCTGATCAGATCATTTATTTAAGCGGATTGCTTTGGTCATACTGTTAAGGACAGAATGGAGGAACATAAACTGATGGCAGGGGAAACTTAAGAGACCTAGTATAGTTATATAAAAGACCAACCAGACCTGAGCAAGTAGGAAGAGGAAGAAGGTAAATAATCAATTGTGACCCTGCTGTTTCTATTTAACTACTTAACTGGCCATTTGGTAATCTACTTTTCCACTTTAGAAATAAATTGTGAATACTTTTTCATATTAAACTTGGAACAAAAAAGAGGGGCTGAAATGCAGGGACAGTAGTCAAAATGAAAATGATAGCTATTGGAAGCACAGTATAGACAGTAATTGAAGGCATCAGTATCAGTGGAAAACAAAACAAAACAAAACAAAACAAAAAAACAAGTGAGAAATAGCAGAACAGGGCCAATACCAGAACTTGAAGAGCCATCTCATGGGGTAACAGAAAAAAAATCATTCGTTTATTTAACAAATATTTATCCATTACCTATACAGAATTAGGCCTAGGACTAGCTACGGAGCAGTGAACAAGACAAGACAGTCTCTGCCCTCGTGGAGCTTATACTATGAAAGGAAAGCCAGAAAGTGAACAAGTCAGTATCAACAAGGGAGAAGTGCAGATGCTATACTGCTATTGGAGAACTGGGTGACAGAACCAGCACCACAGAAAGCAGGTGTTTCAAAGAGAAAGTGGTCCAAAGTTTTAAATGCTCCCTAGCACGGACAGTAACTTTTAAAAAATGATTGGATTTCTTGATGCGGTCATGAATAATGCTGAAAGAGTAATGTCACTTGTATACTGGGAACAAGAACTACTGTAGGAACAGAGGCAGTGAGCTGGTGAGAGAGGTGATCTCAGTAAAAAGGAAGTGAATTCCTACAGTAGGCTCAATTGGATTATTTTTGTCTTTTACTCTTTTGAACATGTATGTATCCCTGCATATATAAAGGCAGACAGAAGTGAAGGGATCAGTAAAAGTAGCTAGAGTCACTCAGAATTCCTGCTGGCACCTACCTATTTACCCCACTAAACCTGTTCAAATACTTAATTTTTACCTTTGTAAACGGTGGCATTGAAATTTTTTTTTAATTGTGTTGAATCAATAGTATTGTCCCATGTCAGGAGTTTCACTTAAGATATTTATGATCTAAATTTAAGAAAAACCAAACATATATATGTATTTCTTGCTCTAAGACTAACTTACAGTACTATGAGCTACTATTTGTCATCAAAAAGAAAGTATTATAGGGGCGCCTGAGTGGCTTAGTTGGTTAAGCATCTGCCTTGGGCTCAGGTCATGATCTCGGAGTCCTGGGATCAGCCCCGCATCTCTCTCTCTCTCCCTCTGCCCCTCCCCACTGCTCATTCTCTCTCTCTCTCAAATAAATAAAGTCTTTAAAAAAAAAAAAGAAAGAATTACAGCAATATTATGAGCTAAATAGATGTCTGTCTTACATCATACTTATCTACCTTTTAATACTGTCCTACGGAAAATGTTCCAAAGAACCAAGTTGCAACTGAACTTCTCAGAACACACATTCACAAACTGGGGCCACTCACAGTTTCATTAGTGTTTATATGAGATTAAAAATCAACAATTTCAATAAGGCTTTTTAAATATGCCAATTTTAGTTCAAGTTAAAATATGCTGTCATTCCTTCTACATGGTTCTTTATTTGAAATGGTTCAGTGGACAACCTGCAATTACTCCAAGCAACAAAGAGCCTGTTAACCTGAAGAGCAAGGGTCAACTGAGCTGAGCAAGAGGCTTGAGGCCCTGCCCCTTTGAGAAGGTTTCTTCCTTTCACCACAGGTAACGTCAGGCCCAGGGCAGCTGGGCAGCACATTACCAAAGTTCCAGCTCTCTAAGGGATACTGGTTTCTGAGGCGAGTGCTGATCATGCATGAAGAGCCAACTAACAATTAGTAACTCCAAATCCCAAATCTGGAAAGGCCTTAAAAAGTGACCTCATCTACCATGTAGTACAATAGAAACCACAGTCCAAAAAATGACTTGCCATGATTATAATTGCTAAGTAATAATAAATAATAAAAATTTAATGTGGGTATAGTGGCAACACAGCAAGAGCTACTTAGTTTCCTATTTCCAATGTGTTGCAGTGGGGGAAAAGTTTTCATTTCAAAGTAAGCTTTGTTTCCTGGGGAGTTAGCATCACAACCTTTTTAAAAAACAGAACTATAGATGTCAATAACTTAAGACAAAATGTATACTTTTAAGCAAATTTTTCTTCAAAAACACCCTCTGTGATATGGTAATACCTATACAAATAGAATATAAGCAATCGATTCATTTATACTTTCCCCTTTATTTCCTTCAATGTTCAAAATAGCACTAATTTCTGACACAAGATGCGTAAGTATTAAATAACTTCCTGCGCTTAAGACCATTATTATTTGTTTAAAGTGAGGGGAAAACAAAAATAGGTTCTTGGCCATCCCACTGCCAAAGTCTTAGTCTTTGGAGTTTCTAGCCTGACCTGCCCAAAGAACCAACAGGAGTCTGTTCATTCCTGGGTGGCTCAGTCGGTTAAGCGTCTGCCTTCGGCTCAGGTCATGATTTCAGGGTCCTGGGATCCAGCCCTGCACTGGGCTTCTTGCTCAGCGGGGAGCCTGCTTCTCCATCACCCTCTGCCCGCCACTTCCCCTGCTTGTGTGTGCACGTTCTCTCTGTCAAATAAATAAAGAAAATCTAAAAAAAATTAAAAAATAAAAAAAAAGGAAAGAACTATACTCAGATATATCTCCAGGGTCAGAATCAGCATTTTCTGAGAGAGCCTCATTTTAATCCATCTGGGCAGGAGATAATTCTAGAGCTAAAGTTATTTACTCACAAATATAAGGAATGGACAAATGAAGTCCCTGGTACTGAAATATGCAGTTCTTGGGGAGAAAAAGGCTCCTAAATAAATTCGACACTTAAAACATTTGTAGGCAGGTATATTTGTCTTGTTTTTCTTTATAGTCAAATCCAAAACTTAGCCCTCTCACCTGGTCTTAAATTCTTATAATTCCTTTAGTTTCCCTCCTTGAAGAGGGAAAAACTGATTGATCTGATTTTCATTGGACCCCCAACCTATTCATGAACATTTAGCTAAAAGAAGTTTATTCATTCTGGCAGTAAGCAGAATCCATGTTTATGCCACCAAATCTGTATTTCTTTTTCCCAGTAGAGACATTAGTCAGTA